CACATGTCCCTTGGGGTGGGTAACACCACCCCTGGCCAAGAGCAACTAGGTTAAAGAAAGGGCTAAATGGCTTCATGGCCCAGCTCTGCCACCTACTAGCTCCATGATCTTGGATAAACCTCTTAGTCTCTTGAGCTCAATTTCTTCATTTGTAAAAATGGGACGACCTCACAGGATTATTATAGGATTAAATACTTAAATATGCATCATCTAGCACATAGTACGTGTTCAATAAACATCAACTATTTTTGTGATGATAATCACATCCTCTCACCTGAGGTAAAATACTATAACCAGTAAACTGGAACGACTCATTGATAAGAAGATTAAGGACACAGACCACATCTTAGATGATCACATGGGGAAAAGTTCTGCTGTAGTGAACAAAAGCATTGATTTGCCCTACATTCATGCTCAGCTAAAAGAAAAGCACTACACACATCGGATTAGCAGAGAAGCTCTGGAAATTCTGAAGGACTCAAACAGTGTTAATAGGGGTGCCGGATTTAACCTTGGAAATCTGGAAAACAACAGGGCACAGTGTAAACAGAGTAGAAAAAAGAACAGAGGGCCTTTTAGAAGAGCTGTAAGGCTTAAATAAAATCCTCCCTCCCTGTACAACACCCACTGTCTCACTTAAGCGCCTCACTTAGAAAAGTCCCTTTGAGGTCTGAAGTAACTGGTCGTCCTTGCTGAAGAACATGGCACCTCCTCCTTCCACTCTAACTTGCCCATGATTCCTGACGATGGAAGGCAAAGCATCTAGTGTTCTCGGAGATGCTGAACCAGGAACTCTAGGCAGAGCCTGGGGCTGGGGGTGGGGATGGGGAGTGCCAAAGAAGAGAGTTAAAACTGAAGAACCACCAGCTTTTGATGGATTTTATTATGGATGCATAAATCAAGCAAGATGTGAACTTTAAATTGATTGCAACATGTTACCTTATCACTGTGTTCTCTGATTAATTTCTGGTCTGATCTTATCTTGTGTTTCCCAAGATGCTTCTGAAGGCTTTCATGTCCACAGCCTAAATCACACTTTCTTTTCTCCTGCCAGTATTCCATGTTCCCAGAGCGCACAGAGATGGGGAAGTGTTTTATATAGCGCAACTTACTGCTTTGGAGGCCTCTCCCTTGCCTATAGCAAAATTCCTTAGGGTGCAAAAGAAAAACCTGACTCTGCTGAGTTCTTCTTGCCTTTTTTGTATAGCTTTAATCTCTGCAATCATTTCAAGGCCTTGGTTTATTTTGATGTGTTAATTCATCCACTTTTTCGCTTTGTATCTAATTTTATCCTGTAGTTAAGTCTTAAAATTTCAATATCACCTTGAGTGTTATCAGGGTTATTCTTCATGCCAAAGGCCCAGAAATATTGATCTACTTATGTAGCTTTATCTGGCTCTATTTTTTTTTTTTTCTTCCTTGAGGTACTGTTATTAGTCAGGATCCCGATAGAAAGAAGATGGTTGACTTGAAAAGAATTTTAATGAAGCCCTTTGGACAGAGGTAAAGGAACCAATCCCAGATGGCAAGGCACCCAGGACCCAGGAACAGTGAGGAGCTGTGAGCTCCCTGAGGCCTGAGGGGCAATGAGGGGTGGGGATAGGATTGTCAGAGCCTGATGAGAAATGTACCAGAGGAGGCTCCCATAGAGGGTAACCGCATGGCAATAGAGACACCAACAGCCCTTTGGAGAGACATGGAGGGAGCGGAGAGAATAAACACCCCTACTATCTCTTATTCCACTTTTTGGTTTCCTCATGGTGTCTCTGATTGGCCAATCTGGATGATCGAATCTAGAGAGATTAGCTTCCCTGGCACAGAGAAGGGCAGATAATAGATCTGGATGGAGGTAGGAATGAGGCGTGAGCAATAACGAACATCAACCTCTTCTTCATTCTTGGCTGTGGAAATTCTCATTAGATTATCAATAGATGAGCAATTCTCAGTAGATTATCAATGGTGATGAATACACATGAATGCATGCCAATTCCATTCTTGTTATGATGAAACCAATTTATGCTCTTCCTGGAGATATGTATATAGTTTTGTTGTTGTTGTTGTTGTTATTGCTATTGTTTTGTTTTAGGAAACCTCTCTTTCTCCTGCTTGATCAGTCTTGTATCCCTATACAGAGTGGACGGCTGTCTTTAAAAGCCTTCATGCCCATATAAAGAATGTACTAGAGATGTTAATTCTCAGCTCCTACTCTACATCTACTGAACCAGAAACTCTGGGGTGGGGCCCATCGGTGTTAACAAGCCCTCGGGGAGTCTGACACATGCTCAAGTTTGAGAAGCACGGGGCAAGATGTTGTCCAGAACATCTCTGATGCTTCTCTCACACCACGCCTTTTTGTTCCGGGTGTTGCTGTGGCAACCAGCCGTGCATAGGTGTAGCCTGACCACACCTCACTTCAGCTGCACCACAGGTAACTTCTCTGCCCCTGGGCTTCTCTTCCACAGCAGTGTGGCATAACTGGGGGAGTCTGTTCAGCTCTTCCTGGGCATGTGCAAACCTGGAAAGGCTAAGGAGTTCATGAATAGTCCTGGGGCAGCCTTGGACCAATAGAGGTTGGGAGCCCGTGGATATATTGCACTCCCCATGGTCTTGGGGTGAAGGTGCATTCTACGTGGTTCCTCAGTAGTTTCCATTGGGACTGACCGCCATTTGCGCGAAGCACTAAGAAGCTCAGTAATGCACCTTTGGGTTGGCTTTCCCTCTTCCCAATCACTTTCTAAGATAACTACCTGCATGCAAACCTTTGTCTCAGACTCTACTTCTTGGAGGAATCCAAGCTAGGGCAAATGTTCTTTCCTTATCCTTTATCAATATTTTACTCATCTTTATTTATTTATTTATTTAAAAGATTTTATTTATTTATTTATTTGACAGAGAGAGACACAGCGAGAGAGGGAACACAAGCAGGGGGAGTGGGAGAGGGAGAAGCAGGCTTTCCGCAGAGCAGGGAGCCCGATGCGGGGCTCGATCCCAGGACCCTGGGATCATGACCTGAGCTGAAGGCAGACGCTTAACGACTGAGCCACCCAGGTGCCCCTTTTACTCATCTTTAAAGACCAATTCAATGTCATCTATTGCTCATAAACCTCTGTCTTCCCAGTTAGAGTCTAATACGCCCTCAGTTTGCTTCTATACTGTTTATTTTTACCAGCACAGCAGTGGCTATAATCTGTCTGGAAATATGGTTTTTCTATAGCTCTCTGTCTCCCCAGTGAGACTAGTGTTCTTGAGGTCAGGGACAGTGTCTATTCATTCAAGGAATACTCCCCCATCCACCCTTGTCCTGGCGGGTTTTTGGATCGTGCTGAGCACAATAAATATTTGTTGAATTTAATAGAATGTCAGAGTCCTCTCTGATGGCTTTTAAAGTCACATTGTAATACTCTCAGTGTGTCTGACTTTGGATAGTGTTCTCCTTTACTGTTACAATCTTGAAGTTATGAGGCTTTCTCTTTTAGCTATTTTCTTTTCTTTTTTGAAGATTTTATTTATTTATTTGAGAGAGAGAGAGACACACAGCAAGAGAGGGAACACAAGCAGGGGGAGTGGGAGAGGGAGAAGCAGACTGCCTGCGGAGCAGGGAGCCCGATGTGGGGCTCGATCCCAGGACCCTGGGATCATGACCTGAGCTGAAGGCAGACGCTTCACGACTGAGCCACCAGGCGCCCTCTTTTAGCTATTTTCAATCCAGTTGTTGCTCAAAAAGGAGGTCTAATTGATCGTGACTGTTCAGTACAGCCAAGGCCCACTTCATGTACATGTGACCTATGAAGATGCACAGGGTCCTGTGTTCAGAAGGGTCCCATGCTCCAATAATGCTTGGCTGTTGCCATCTCGAACTTCTTAACAATTTTATCTTTGTAGTTGTGTTCTGTGAGTGAAGTCCAAAGGACACTGGAATATACATGTGAGCAGAGCAGATACATGTAATGTGCATGTCTACCCTTCCCGGCTGCCCCATCACGTGTACTTCATGATGCTCCATGAGGACAGAATCCCAGCTGACTCATGACACAGGGTAATCTTGCAACACTTAAAATGAGCACAAGGCAAGTGTGTTAGTTCCATGACTAAACTGGGAACAGGAAGGTAAATAAGGCCACGACGTGGGGAGAGAGGGAGAGAGGCCATGCTTTCCAGGTAGAACTGGAATGTGCTTCCAATGCAGAAAGAAGGCAGTGGTGTTCCAAGAAACACCAGCAACCAGGAAACCCTATCATATCCTGCCTTACTCATGTCATTTTCCTGTATTAGCTCACCACTTCAGCTGAAAATGATGATGGAGAAGAATAGGGACAGGTAGGGTAACCCAAGAGCTCCTTTCTCGTTTGATCCTTCCTTCCTTTTTAATATGCTGGAGATGGAAAATGTTGGTAGAATGTGCACATAACAAGAGGTGCAATAAACACAGTTTGGTTCATTTTTTTTCAGTGTTTCCATTGTTCCAATAAGAATAAAAATATGTGAACTATATGATATTGTAAAATACCAGTTGTACAATTTCAGTGATTCTGCATACCAGTTGAATGCTGGAACAAGGAAACTCAGAAGTGTATCAAAAAAGAGAAGTGGGGGGTAAGAAAAAGGAGGAGAAGTGACCCCAATTCTGTGGGGTCACTGTATATGATAAAGATGAGTGGGAAGATTTAAATATATTCATACATGGGGCGCCTGGGTGGCTCAGTCGGTTGAGTGTCTGACTTTGATTTTGGCTCAGGTCAGGATCTCAGGGTTGTGAGATCGAGCCCTTTGTTGGGCTCTGCGCTGGGCTTGGAGCCTGCTTGGGATTCACTCCTCCTTCTGCCCCTCTTCCCTCCCCTGCACACACACTCTCTCTCCCTCTCAAAATAAATAAATACATACATACATATATACGCAAATATGTTCATACATGAAAAGAAGCATTAATTCAAAAAGAAATGAAAAATAAAAAAATACATTAAAAGTTTTTGTGTAATGACCCTTTATGTGTATGTTTCAAGCATGTAAAATAAAATGCTTTAATAAGTAAAAAGAAATATGAGTAAGGTGAGCTACTTCTATTCCCAGTTAGAACGTGCCAGGCTTTGGGAATACAAAGATAAAAGCCATGGTCCTTGCCCAAGGACTTCACAGATTAACAGGGGATTCAGACAATCAACTCGACAATCAGAGAAGAGGGTGGTGAGAGCTTTGGGCATCTAGCTGCTTGGGGGTCAGGATCAAAGCGCGCAGACATCTCCGCGGGCGTCTGGATGCTGACTCACGTAGCCCTGGCCACTGGTCACCCTCTACCATGGTGCTTGGCACACAGCAGGCATGCAATCATCAGAGGAATGAATCTGATTCAGCATAGTTTTCTGGAGGAGGTGACTTCTTAACTGGAAGTTTGGTAGCTGGGCTTGCGGACACCTTCCGTTGCTCCATGAACCTTCAAACATCGTGATGAGGTTGTGGTTGAAGTTATCTAAGAGACCACGGTGGAACACAATTTCCCCTCTAGGGAAATTGTTATATTCAACATCAGTAGGAGAAGGAAAGATTGGGGCCCATTCCTGCCTTAGGTGTTACTCTTAATCACAGGGACAGGGTTTAATTTTGTATTATACATTTTACGGCTAAGAATTAGAAAAGGCTTTGTGTATTCCTTCCCCAGATGAATTCCTTCCCCTTTCCTTACATTTCATAAGTCCTTCCATGTACCCTATTCTTTTTGCCTGTGTACTTCATATTTCTTTGCAGGACACTCAGTAATCTTCATCCCTGAAAGAAAGATTTGTTCAGCAAGGTCCTCCTCAGGGGGCTCCAGAAGCCTTGGAAGATGACAAATGGTGATAACCACCATTCACAGAGCTTCAACCTTAGGGCTCTTCTGCTTGGTGTCACCATGGTTCGTGTATTCATTAGGCTGGGAGTTTCTTGAAAGTGGCTCTGTGGTTTCAGCTACCCCGGGGACCCAGCACCGTGCCTGGAACATAGAAGAAGCACAATAAATGGGGTTCCTTTTTAATATGAATGAATGAATGGTTGAATGAATGACCTAATACCATCTGACTGCTCCCAAGCTTCTTTAATTATGGTCTTTGGTGCCTCACCTCTTTATCTTATTTATTACTCTTTTTCGGACACTTTTAAATATAGAATATACACACATCTGCACAGGCTCACCCTCCCTCTCCCCTTCCCCCTTATATACACACTGGCGTTATGTAGGCACAGCAGAACTTGACTACAGGATTTAGCTGGGACACTCACACTTGTTAAGACAGTTCACAAGAACATAAAAAAGATGATGGATAGCTTCGTCCCAGCCCTTGCGCATTTCAGCACGATGGAATCTCTTGGAGGTATCTGATTTCAGAGCACACCTGTGGACCTAGTGACAATCTGTACTCCTGAGTGGGTTTGGGAAAGCACTTATTTATTTTAAAGCTAAAATTAAATGACATGTTTTTACATGTTGTATAGCGGCCGGCGCTGATGCAAAACTTTGTCAACATGGAACTTTTCACACCTCGGGTTCCAACTTCAGTAAGTGGATTACCTGGTAGGACTGGTGTTGGTTTTCGGCATTGAAAATGAATGAACTAACTTGGGAAAGCTCAGAGTCATGGCCCTTTAGCTTTCTTTGAGTGAAAATCCTTTCATCTGAAAAGAATTGGGGTCACTTCTCCTCCTTTTTCTTTCCCCCCACTTCTCTTTTTGGATACACTTCTGAGTTTCCTTGTTCCAGATAGGACTCCCAGATCAACGTAGAAGCTGCCAAGTGCTGTGGCAGCGAGGTGACCATTTTTCCCGAAGCAGCTGGGAAGTGCCCTGGTCTGGGATGTGCAAGGCTAATGGAACCACCCTCGCGTCTGTGATGCTAAATTAACAGTCTTTGCTCCTTAGCCACCAGCTCTGCTGCCCACGGGTTGGGCTGCCTGTGCGTCCCTTTGTCTGCCAACAATGTCTCATTGCTTTCTTCACCGACAAAACGTCCTGCTCACAGCGAAAGGCCCCGGATGAGCCCCTGCGAGACTTCTCCTTGCCCCGGGTTCTTCCCACTGTGACCCTCCTGTTGATAGCAACCCTCTGCACACAGTTTCTCGTCCGATCCACTTTTGCAGGGCAGGACAAGGAAATCTCTCAGTCCTTACTATTACAGAGGCAGCTATGGGTCCCCCAAATAAGGTGGAAACTAGAATGTAGGGCAAGATTTAAAAAAGAAAAAGTGCTCATTGAAATGGGGAGCTAAAAGTTGATAAGACCCTCACACCATGGGTAGGAGGAGCTCGATGCAGGAAAGCCATCATGTAACGTGGCCTATATGCTGTTATGATATACTGTTATTATTATTACTTTATAACCCTTTAGGCATTTCGATATTATAAGGTATTTTTATATACATGATTGTTGATCTTTAATCAAGAATAGGTACTGTAATCTTTTACAAATGAGGGTAATTGAAGCTTCTAGAAGTTATGAGATCCTGTACAAGGACAGCCTTGGGACCGAGAAACTAAATCTATGATGCGTCACACAATTTTATTACTGATAAAATTGAGGGTATTTCCTGAGATATCTTTACAAAGCAGCTGATTGAAAAGGAGACTAACAACAAATATCGTGTACACATGTTACAATGCACAAAGCTGTTATAAAGTGCAAGCAGTAAGGCGGTGAGCCTCTTGGGATCTAGCAAGGGAGGATGATGCTAAGAATTGATGAGTATTTCCAGCACAGTCAAAGGAGAAAAGACATTGTGTTTAGTGAACAAGACCATTCTGGTCACTAAAAAAGTCTATTCTTCATTGGGGAAGAGATTTTTCATCACCCCCTAATACGACTACCTAATGCATTCTACCAGACGAAGCAAGCTCTAGGGTCATGCAATCCCTTTTGCTTGGTCTGGTGAACTTGACAAACATGTGATTAATTCTGTTTCTTTAGTACCTAGCAGCTGGAGAGGAGTAGGGTGCTCTGTATGTTGGACTAGAAAATTGTCGTCATTGGAGAAGTATGTCTTGTGCTTTACAATTAAGGCTCTGGCTCCCAGGTTAGTAAATCAGGCTCTTGTCTTGGTGAACTTGGTTAGCATGAATCCGTTCTCCAGCACCAACTCACTTCGGGGTGAGGTCGATCTGAGTTTCTACAAGACTGAGCACTTAAACCCATGATGGTCACACCAAGTGCAGCTTTCTGAGGGTCCTAGCTGGATCTACCAGCTTGCCTTCTTCATCACTGGGTATGAAAATAAATCTGATTAGATGGTCCACTGAAACAGCTTTCCTCACCAATAGCATCTTAGATGTGAACGAATCTTTGTAATCACCTGGTTCAATCTCCTCCGCACATAGAGGTCCTGTAAGTGGCTGTGTAAACCAGCAGTCAGCTTATTTCCTCAAGATGCATTCACTTTGGATGGCTCTAATTGTTAAGAATTTTTTCCTTATATATTGAGCTGACCTTTTTCTGCCTTTCTGTTCATTTCTCTAGAGCTGTAAGTACAGGGGTGCCTGGGTGGCTCAGTCGGTTAAGCATCTGCCTTTGGCTCAGGTTATTAAGTCAAGGTATTTTGGTTTTATTCTTTCTCCCTCACTTCCCATTAAAAAAGTACCAAGAATGGGGATGCCTGGGTGGCTCAGTGGGTTAAGCGTCTGCCTTTGGCTCAGGTCATGATCCTGGAGTCCTAGGATCGAGCCCTGCATCTGGCTCTTTGCTCAACGGGGAGTCTGCTTCTCCCTCTCCCTCTGCTGCCCCCCCCCCCCCGCGTGGGCTCTCTACCTTGCTCTCTCTCTCAAATAAATAAACAATCAAAAAAGAAAAAATAAGTGGAATGTTAGAACCGCCATGGCAGCGGAGGAAGAAGGAAGATTTTCATGAACTCCTCCCATTCTGGCACAATACCTCTGTCCCTTTTACTAAGACGGACAGAGAACCAGAGAGAAACACCGACTGAATTCAAGAGATCAAAGATGATTAAAGAGCTAGACATTAAGACATGGCGAGAGCAGAATGCACTAGACAAAGAAGAGATACTATGATATCACGGACCCTCAGTGGCCCGGGAAGTAAGACATCCCAAAGCAGCCGCCCCGGGGAATACCTACCACGGGTTCTCAAAGCGTGGTTCCCAGACAAGCAGCATTATCGTCACCAGGGAACCTGGTAGACAGGCAAATTATCCAACCTCATCCCAGACCTACTGAATCTGAAACTCGGCAGGCGGGGCCCAGCAATGTTTTGACAAGCTTTCCAGGGAATTCGAATGTGTGCTAAAGTTTGACAAGCACCCCTTGAGACCAGTGTTTCTCAAAATTTAAAATTCTTCTGCGTCTCCTGGGGAGCTGGTTAGGCCGCGCATTCTGACTCAGCAGGGACGGAATGGGGCCCGAGACTCTGCATTTCTCACAGGCTCCCTGGGGAGGCCATGCTGCCGTGGCTCCCACCACATGGAGTAAGTCGAGAAGGCAGACTGAGTGTGTGTTCCATGATGGGAGGGCTTCCTAAGGAAATAGTCGGGGAGGATACCGATCTCGTTAGCATTTTATTTCATTTTTTTCTTTCAAGGCCATGAGCAAGACTAAGGCCGCTTTCTTTGAAGGGCTTGTTGTCCGGGGGGTGTGGATGCTTTTGGCCATAGCACCGTGTTTGTGTCTCAGTGGTATGCCTCCTGAAAGTTCCAAACATTCGCTGCCACGCCTGACTTTGTGTTAACAGTTCCTCTTTCCAGATGGAGAAGCTGAGGCTGGGCCACAGAGCTATTTGTGTTCCAAGGTCACAGAGATCTGGGACAGCCCGGGCTGGCGAGGGCCTCCTGATCTGGCTGGAGCTCTTTGCACAAACCCCTTACGTCTCTCCCCATGGCCAGTGGGAAGTGGTGAGCGAGCTAGGAGATTAACACGCCTGCAGCTCCGCAGTAAAACCCAGAGCCGCTCACTCTCCAGGCTCGCTGGTGAATCACAGGGAGCTTTAACCTCCTTTCCGTCAGAAAGCATTTATTTAAAACCCCTTGGCTAACTCACAGGGTGAGCTGGCTTGTCACACACCGTCACATGGGATGGAAACTGGCAATTAAATTTAGCAACCCACCTCGGCAAATCCAGACCGAGATGTTTACAGGCTAGCCCGCAAGGAGCCAGGAGTTTTCGCTCCTAAATCAAGAGGTTTCCAGAGAAAGTGAAGTCAGGCTCGGGGGGGTTATGCTGAATTAGGGGCACCTGTTCCCATCAATAACTTGATGGCAAGACTCAGAGGGCCAGGAATGCCTGTTCCGCGCGCAGCCTGATGGAGGGCTGTCCGCCTCATTGTCGGTCTGTGTGAGGCTCAGCAGTGGGGAGATGTGAAAAGGAGGTGTTTGCTCCAAGGACGGTTTGTTTGTTTTCCCCCTCTGGGGGCTGAGACAGACAACAGTAGCCAAAGAATAAATGTCATTTTTCCTATACCCTCCCTCCCCCCCAAAAAGCACCACAACTGCAATATTGAGCAACTCAAGTCGATTTTTTGATGGCCAATGGCGGGGTGGGCCTATTGAGTAGTGAGTTTTGCTGGTTTACAGGATGCCATCGTGATTATAGCCTGGATTCATTGCTGCAGCCTGCCTGTGGTCCGGGAAGTTTTCTGTTAGAAGGTTCTACTTTCTGGAAAAACCCTTGGGGTGAAAATGAGCAAAAGTGGAATTTGTGTGTATTTCTGGATCTGGTGGTGTGCGTTGGGATGTCTACATGAGAAGAGACGTCTCTCATTTTAGCAGAAGGCCCTGCTTTCGTGTGGCTGGGAGGGCAACTGTCAGAGGGAGGTGAGTGGAAGACCCATGCACGAGCCAGACTCTAGTCACATCTTTTCCAACGACTGACGTGCCTGGTGAAGGACACCTGCCCAGCTTCTGTAAGAGCTTGTCTTTGACAGGAGCCCAGGTATGTGGGTGGGATGAAGAGGACCCTAGGGAAAGGTCGGGGGCGCCACTCTCCATCTGCATGAAAACATTCTGCTGGCCAGGTGAAGATAAACATGTTTGAGCTTCAGCACACTCACATGAGTATCTGTTCTCCCACCGTACATAATAGCACCTTACAGAGAAGGGAACGGGACTTCGAGTGTCGTCAACTGGGCCCTGCGGGGAGGAAAAGGCCAGCTGAGAATGGGAGCCACCCCAAGATTAGCGTGAGGGGGAGTGGCTTCTTATTCCAGCCACCCTGGTGAATTTCCTGTCCTGTGGAGTGATGCTGGAAAGGCATCAAAGCCTTCAGGGCTGGTAAAACCTAGCTTTGCAGAGCCAGGTTCCCTCACAGAACGATTCCCTAAGCCCTGTGTTCCTATCTACCTTTTCCATCATAGCTCCCTTCCTTATCTTTTCTTTCTCTCTCTTCCTTTTTTTTTTTTTTTTTAACCTCCCTCACCTTCCTTTCATTTGTTCCTACTCTCCTTTCTAGGCCTAATGGCAAAGAGTATCCCCTACAGATGTTCCTGAGCCACCCCAGGGCCCTTGGGCTTAGGAGGTAAATGGTCCCCTATGGCTCAGTTCAAGCAGGTTGGGGCTGATGCTCACGAGGCCTTGAATCTGATACCGGCTTGACTCGCTGTGCTGGTCGCTGTATATTTTCAGGGTCTGGGTGTCTCTCTCTGTGGAGTGTGGATAGACCTCCCCTTCTTTCACCCGGATGATCTGAAGGACTAGCGAGCTCGGATATGAGATCACGACTCAGGAAGGGCACGGTGTGAACGCTGGGCATTGCTACCACTGGGCATTTCTGTGCACAATGGTTACCTTTCACGGTGCTCCAACTGGCCTTCCTAGTCACGTCTTCCTCGTCTTGTAGAGCAGGTTGTATCCTAAGAATTGTGTTTGGCTCAAGGTCACACAAGGTTGGGCGCCTCAGCTGAATCTAAACAAAGAGCAATTGAGTTCCTAACCTATGCTCAGCCCATTTGACCACAGTGACCTCTGCTCTCTGTACCTGGAAGCCCAGCCCTGGTGAGGGAAATAATGCTCCTGCTTCTCCAGGTGCTGTGGAAACCAGTTACACCACCTCATCCTCCCCCTGGCTGGGTTGAATCCAGCTCTGTCTGTGTCTGGCCCACATCTTACGCCTGCTTAGCACAGTCTGCTCCTTGCTGAGAGAAAGCATGGGGCAGAGGTGTCAGTTGGGGGGAGGGGAGCGGTGCTTGGTCTGGCAAGGGGGGAGCTAGAGGACACAAAATCCACTTTGGGGGTTCAGAGTGATGGGCTGGCCTGGAAGGTGAGCTTTACAGCCTAATTAAAATGTTTCCATTCTGTCCAACTTTAACTCGCTTCCTTTGCATATGGGGCGTCTAAAGCAGGAATGCCAGAACAGTACAAAAAAAGTGGGGAAAAAAGATCCCCTCTAAGTCTGGGATGATTGCAACAGCCGTGGCTGGATTCGTTGGTCTTTTGCCTGGATTCCACTGCCCTGCTTTGGATTGCAACAGCCTGTCTTGCAAACTACATCTCCCAGGCTCCCTTGCTGCCTGGCTTCCAGCTGGGTTCAGCCCAAGGGGGTTCAGTGAACGAGGATAAATCAGAGGGCTGGAGGAAGGGAAATGCTGGGGTGTTTCGCTCCGTCTCACTCTGAGCCGGCCAGGATCTGTGGGGGCACCCTTGTTGGACCGACCCTTTCCACGGTTCCCACTCCGCAAGACTGCCCAGAGTTCAGGTGCGGATAACGGTCCCTTTCCAGACCTACGGTGCATGGAATCTTCTGCTACTTCAGTCTGGGGTTGGGTTTTCAGTTCTTCCAGCATCTCTGTAACCAGTGCCCCCACATCACATTTCCTCTGTTAGATTCCCTGACTGGGCACTGTTTGCCTAACTCATCAGATGAGGAGACTGGGACCCAGGGGAGCCATGGGCCTGCCTGTAGAACCTGGATCAGAGGGAGCCTGGGAACCCAGCCCCCCGCCCCCTCTCCCGCCGCTACCATCGCCTACAGACGCCTGTGGTGGGCCTCCTCGTGCAGGGGGCCCTTGGGTCTGAGGTGGAAGTGGGCCACATTTTACGGGTAAGGAGAAACCCAGAAATAAAGCTGAAATTGCTAACTGAAGCACAGAAATGGGCCAAATACTCTAATCAGCCAGAAAGGACCTTCCTTTATTATTTATTTTATTATTATTATTTTTTAAAAGATTTTATTTATTTGAGAAAAAGAGTGAGTGAGAGAGAGCACAAGCCAGGGAAGGGACAAGGGGAGAGGGAGGAGCAGACTCTCTGCCGAGCAGGTAGCCCGATGCAGAACTCGATCCCAGGACCCTGGGATCATGACCTGAGCTGAAGGCAGACGCTTAACTGACTGAGCCACCCAGGCGCCCAAAGGACCTTCCTTTAAAGTCAGCTAAAAAAAAAAAAAAGAAGAAGATAAAAAGAGAAACTTGGTGTCAAGGTATTAAAGAAAGAGGTGTATCTTCTTTTTTTTAAATTATTTATTTATTTTTATTTATTTTTTAAAAAATCTTCCTTTTATTTTATTATGTTATGTTAATCACCATACAGTGCATCATTAGTTTTTGATGTAGTGTTCCATGATTCATTGCGTATAACACCCAGTGCTCCATGCAGTATGTGCCCTGAGGTGCATCTTCTTATTTCTCCTTTCTATTTGCCTCTTTAGACTTTGAGGAGGAACCATGGGCTGGGGATCTTCTTTCGAAGAGAAACAGAGGCCCCTCAACCCTTTTCTCGGAGGGCTGGATACTGCTGGGGGACACCCATGTCTCTGTCAGAGCACCTTTCTCTTTGAGTATTGTTGACACACAGTGTTGCCTTAGTTTCAGGTACAACGAGGTGATCTGAGAAGTTTATATGTCACACTGTGCTCACCATCCGTGTAGCCACCATCTGTCACCATACAAGGCTGTCACAGCATCATTACTATATTCCCTATGCTGTGCTTTTTATTCCCATGACTTATTCCTTCCATAATTGGACAGCTGTATCTCCCGCCGCCTTCACTCACTTTGCCCATCCATCCCCGCACCCCTCCATGTCCAGAGCGTCTTGCCATGACTTCTTTGGGGCGCGTCTAGGAGCCTGACCCTTGTCACAACCAGGCCCCGACTCCCCGCAGCCTGCGTTGAAGATGGGCTGCCACCAGCCTGGACCTCATCCAGCCCAGCACCTGCTCCCCCACCCCGCCCCTGCCCCCAAACCAGCCCTTCCCAAGGGCACTCCGTGGTCAGCAGGGCCAGCAGAGCCCTGGAGGGCCCCCCGCCCCGACAACCGCCCTTTGACTCATGCATT